TTCTTTTTATAGAGAATTCCTCCATCACTGGGTCAATTACGAAAATTACGACATTTAGATCTTGAAGAAAATAAACTTGATTCACTACCTCAGGAAATAGGTAATTTACATAAATTTAATTTATGTATATATATATATATATTTTTTTTTTATCTAGGTTATTTACGTGAATTAACAAGATTAATAGTTGCATCAAATCAATTGACTCAATTACCACGTTCCATTGGGTAAAAAAAAACAAGCAAATAATAACTTCTAAAAAAAATTTTTTTTTTTCTGTAATTATTAGATCTTTATCAAATTTGACTCATTTAAATGTTGGTGAAAATAATTTAACTTCATTACCTGAGGATGTAGGTCAATTAGAAAAACTTGAACAACTTTATATAAATGATAATCCAAATTTGGATGTACTTCCTTATGAATTAGCATTATGTACTAATTTACAAATAATGAGCATCGAAAATTGTCCACTTAGAAGTTTACCACAAGAAATAGTAGCTGGTGGACCTTCTCTCGTGATACAAGTATATATATATATATATATATGATTATATTTATCTTATTTATTTTTTTCTTATCTATTTAGTTTCTCAAAGTACAAGGACCGTTTAATTTAAATTGATGTCGTATTTAAAACTGTGGATCTCATATTTCTCTCTTTTTTTATGTGTATTAGACAAATCGGTGTGTTTTCTTGAACCGGTAATTGTATGTGTGTATTATTATCATTCTCTCTTCTTATTCTTTTCCTTTTTAACAAACAAATTTTTTTGATAAAAGAAAGAACATGATTATCTTGCATTTGTTTTTGTTTTTTTTTTTGCGCTAGACATTCTCTATTATCCCATCTCGTTTTTCTTTTTTTGTATATACGAGTATGTGTAATCTTTTATACTCTTGACAAAATGAATATATATGTGTATGCGCGCAATCGATTCTGTATTTTTTTTTCTCTGTTTCGCTCTTTTTTGTCCCAGACGTATATAAGACATATAAACATAAATATATTTGCCTTTTCGTTTGTTGTTGGTGGTGCGTTAGCAATTCAAATCGTATAAGTATATATATATATAGATATTTTCTTCTGCTCGTGGAATTACCAGTCAGAATTAATATGTGTTTATGTGTATATGCGAGATATTATTATTATTTTTTTGCTTAGATTTTTTTGTTTCTGGATATATTTTGACGATCGTATAATATGTACCAAAATATCTGCATTCTGTTTCATAATGGTTAGATGAACATTAGACAAGAGAGAAATAGATGATGATTGTTGACAATTTATACTGATGAAAAAATAGATTTAAGATTAATGGTGTGTGTGTGTTTTTCATAAAGAGAACAATATTTTTTTTCTTTGTTTTTATTGTTAAGTGATAGAATATTATATTGTAGATTTTTATATTGAAACAGAAGAATATTCTTATGT